TTGCCTCCAAAGGCCACTGTGAATGGCTAAGCTCAGGTTTTCACCTTTGCAAGTCTCGCCGTGTCTCTAGATAACGGGCAGCTTCTCAGAGTCCACGTGCTAATCTCTCCTGCCTCAGAAGCACTGCCAATGCACTCCAGGGACTGTCACGGTGGGAGGTGCAATGGCCATGCCTCTGCACACAGCCACCCCATTTCAACAGCAGACAGCCCAGGTCTGCACGTTCCAGAGCTGATCTCCTGCCTCCAGGCCTAGCAACGGTCCCCCTGCACACCTTCAGACACCCCAGAACCCTGGTCCCCTCCTCACTCTTCGCTCTTACTGTCCTGCCTCCACCCTCACCCACGTAGCCAGGAAACCCAGGCTCCTTCCTCAAACAGCCTCAGCGAGCCCCTACTTCTCACAGTGCCCCTCATTCTCCCTGCTTCCGCTCTGGCCTTGCTCCACTCCCTGGGCTGACAGCCTCCTCACAATCTTGTCTCACATGGCTAGTGGCTCCTGCCAGAGGGAGACCCAATGGCAAGTGTCCTGCAGTTAGGCTCAGAAGAAAGTGCTGTATAAACCGATTCATCTCAAGTCTGCTGGTTTGTTTACACATTGACGTCTGGACTTTCTATCCCCTAACTTTCTTTTAATAATAGTTTTTAACACAATTATTTGGATATTTAGAAATCTACACACATTCTCGAAGCAGAGACATGTAAAATGTCATTTGAAAGGCTTCCCTAGTATTATTGCAAGGCTGGCCAGGAGTTCCTGGGGCAGCAGGGTATATGTGTCCGATTTGACACTTGACTGAGTGAAGGTGGGTAGATAAGGGTGTGTCCACTTAAAGCCAGCACTCAGGACAAGGCTTTGAGGTCAGCTGCATGTTGCCATGCAGCTAATGGCTGTCTCGGTACACACACTTCCCGCTGCTGCCATGTGAGTGCACATACATGCACATGGACTCGTGTTACAGGTCTCGAGGGCTTGGTCAAGTTGTCACACGAAAGCATGGTGGCAGCCAGGAGGCTGCAGTGTTGGCTGTGTGTACTCTTGGTGGCCCACAGCTGTAACGTGTGTGGTATTTCCCTCATAGGACCCAGGGAACACGCAGCCCCAGCCTATCACCTGCTCCCCGTCCCTGCATCAGTCCCCCACCACCCTGTAGTGTCTTGGGAGCAGGCATTTAATGAAAACCAGAAGGAAGCGTAGACACATCCAGCCCAGATCCATCTTCTAAGTCTGTGCCTATCTCCAGGGAAACCCATCTTTGAAAAACACATACCATCCCATACAGCCATGCTCTCACTATACACCCTACACACTGCACAGAGAATGGGTGGCATCTTAGATAGGTCCTTCTCATGTAGGTAAACACTGCCTTAGGCCACCCAGCTGTTCACAGGGTGGCTGTACTGGGCACGCTCAGACCACCATTCACCAACAATGGAATAGCTCCATCACCACCTGGCCCCTGGGTGGTCCCCATGGCTCAGTCCACAGCCTGTGCCCCTGGAAACTGTCTATTGCCAGCCGACTTGGGTGGGCGCTAGCCACTCAGATGTCACAGGTATGGGTGCCCTCGTCCTCTGTACGTGTCCCCTGGCCTGCTCGCCCAGCACTGTGGTCTGTTTTACCTGACGACTGGCCCATCAGATTTTGAGCTTCTTCGGAGGAGTGTAAAGGCAGCTTTTCTCCTAGAGAGCAAAGAAGAGAGAGGTTTAATGGTTTGCCCTCAAGGAGAGAAGCAAGGTCCCTTCAACTAGGAAAGCTCAAAATATGATTGGTGCATGCGCAGCCGACGTGCACGGCCAGCGTGTTTTCACTGGCCATAGCCACCGGGTGGCTCTGCTTCTGTGAGAGGGACACCCTGCTGCAGATGCCTGGGCAGGCTGTGGCCAGACCCTCTGATTACTTTACCATAGGCCCCAGTGCAGGCTGGCTTCTGTCACTGCTATCCTAGGCAGGGCTGAACCAACTAAAGCAGAGGTCACTCCTGTGGTCAGAATGTTGATCCGGGAAAGGATGTGCTCCAAGCGGAGCCAGGTAGAAGCCTTTGTAGGAAAAGCCACCTGGGGATGGACTGTGGGCGACACAGAGCACTGCTATGCACGTAAGACCCTCAAAAGGCAGGAACACAGAAGCCGGGGAGCAGTGAGTCGCCCACAACAGGAGGCAGACTGACCCGCCCGGCCTCAGCGTGTGCAGCCACCGCGTTAACACTGCAAGGCTCGGCATTCAGAGCGTGGCCAGCACCTGTGCTGCTCCCTGCACTGCATAGAGCTCGGAAAGAGAAAGCGAGTCCCCAGGTGAGAAAAGGTCAGAAAAGGGCAGCTGGGTACGTACCGGGGAAAGCGGGGTTGGTCTGTCCGAGGGGAGGAAAGGGGGTTTGCTGCATGGCCAACTGGTGGAGCTTGGTCAACTGCTGGGGGTAGGAGGGACACGAGAGCTAAGAAGGTTATTGTCATCGAGTACAAGTCACACCAAGTTAAAAATGGCAGTAACAGAACTTTGCACAGAGAGGTTCAGAGGGGCCATGCGGACACATGGCAGACACTGCAGCAGGACGCAAGGACTTGGCCTGGGTGGAACCAATGGGCCTGGCTGCCAGCAGCCAAGAGCCTGAATGAGCTGTGCCTATCCCTTACCAGGCTAGCGAGGACGGGAGGCGCCACAGTGGTCCTTGGGACTCTGAGAGCAGGGCCAGCTGGGCTCCTAAGACACTAGCAGATTCAGTCTAGCCAATCATCAGTGCTAAGCTCCACTCACCTGGCCTGCAGGCCTCATTTTAACACAAGAAGTCCATGTGTGGGGCGGGGGAGTAGGGTTGGGGAGCAGCTGGTAGAGCTACAGGCCTGCCCTGCAAACACCTTCTTGACTTACGTAGGGTGACAGGGCATAAACGAAAGATGCCCTGTCATAAGGGAGAAGACAAGGCTCTCATGGAGGCAGCATTGGTCCTGCTCACTGCTGTCCCACAGGCCACACCTCAGCTCCCAGCAGCCTCGCAGCTTTACAAGGCTTGAACATGGGATGCCTCTGTTAATTTTATCTGAGTCTCAGTCTCAAGTTAACATAAAGAGTATCAGAAAATAGAGGGGACTAGGGCTAGCCGCACTGTGAGGAAAGGAGCAGGGTACTGGATGGGTGCTATGAACCACACTACCCTTCTGGGAATCTAGGGCACTGGTACAGGGGATATGGGCTTCCTCAGGCCTGTCTTCCTGAGGGACAGGGGCCCATCAGACAGCACAACACACCTACAGGGAAGGCTGACTCTTCTTCCAGGTCCTAGCAAAGCTACATGGCATCCACTTGGGCTCTGGAGTCTGGCCCGGATCCCGGATGTCTTCACAGTTAGGAGGCAGAGTTAGCAGAGCTGGAGGTAACTGTGAGACACTGTGGCAGAGGACACTATGACTAGCGAGTGGGATCACTCTGGAAATAGAGCTGTCACCTCTATTTTGGTGGCTGGTGAGTGTGCCTCAAACAGAATGAGGGGCCTGCATTGCTGTCATCAATATCCTGTGGTATGTCTAGATTTCTCCATGGTGCTTTAATGTGTTTAGGTTCCTAGGTGCAAAGTACCCTCCAAATTTAGACCAGTGCCCGGTAGAGACTGGGGATGGCAAGTGGAACTGGCGTTGGCCTACAGGATGACTTTGGATGCTTGCTGGCTGGTGGTCCCTTTCCTGATCCTGTTAGCTGGGTGCCTGTGGCTTCTGGATGCCATCTCTGAGAGAACTTTGGCACACAAACCCAAGGCTTTAGGGTTTGTGCAAAAAGCCAACTTCCTTGGCTTGGCCCTGGGATACTTGTCCTTTCCCAAGGCTGACTCCTCAGAAAGATGGCAGATGGATGGACACACCCTAATTGTAACTCTTCTTGTCTTTGAGATGACTGGCGTCTTGGCCTGCATAGGGGAGATCTGGCTGCATCCTGAACTTGACCAGAACAGTTTAAATTAGGGGACATGTGATTTGAGATCAGACTCAGCTCATAAGTCCCTTGAATAGGTGGTATATGATCGGCCACAATAGGGACTGATAACAGTATCTCTAATCTCTGTTGTGATGCACAGTATCAGTGACTCTGCCTGGCCAGACAAAGCTTGGTTTCCATATGGCCTACATCCGTGTCTATTCTAGCTCTGCATCAATGCCGAGTGGTGATGCTTGGCAAAAGGCAGGAGAGCATGTCCAGAAGACCTGTCACCAGGCCACATCTCAAGGATAACACTGTGCCTCCAGGCGGGCTGTGAGGCTCCACATGGGAGGGCCTGAGGGACCAAAGACCCTGTCTGCTCCAACTTGGACCTTGGTGAAGGCATTGTTTCTGACAGACAGATCACAGAGAGGTACCCTAGAAGGTACAGCCCTGTTTGGATCTGCAAAAGGGCTTTAGCGGAGGTGTTGGGTGTGGCTTGTGTTGATGCCTCTGCAGGCCTAGAGAGTTTTAGCAGTTGGATTCCGCTCCTATCCACTGTTTCTGTGCTTCTGTGTTCGGAGGACAGAGCTGTCTTCATATATGTCTGAATCCCTAGAGACTATGGAGCAATGCATGGTTCAAGATGGCGGGGGAACGGAATGAGGAGCAGGGCCTATGTGCGAAGTGCCAAGGGAGCGAGCCTGATGGATCTAGTGTGGACCAGCTCTGTGGAGACTCCAGGCCTCAGCTCATCTGTGAATGATGACAGCAGTTCATGGGCTACTGTCCATATATCCATCCGCAAGGGCTAGTGGTCACCGTGAGTTCTCAAGGATTTCCAGTTGCCCATATGCCCTATGGTTTTGTCTCCTGCTGGCCTTACAGTGATACTCGTTTAGCCAGGGTGGGCTTCAGAACCCACTGACTAGCAGGGAAGCCATGGAACCTATAAATAAAGCTGGCTCCACTCACATCCAGACTCTCATGGCTTAGTGATTCTATGACCTCTCCCCTACTTATATATATGGTCACACTAGCAAATAATGCAGTGATGTCATAGGGACAGGACTAGGCCAGTGTGTGATGGTGCTCGGTGGGCATCTGCTGAGGTGTGGTACCTGTTGGGAATGGAGGTTAGCCAAAACCCTCTTCTTGGTATGGCTCTGTTCCCGTCAGGCTACCTTACAACTCAGTTTCTACAACTGTTAAAGGACTAAGTGCTGAAAGGTCTTCTGTTTTTGCATTTTGATAGTTTTGCCATGTAAAAATCAGTTTGCGGAGCAGTAACCAGAAGAGCTGGAGAGGTGGGGCTGCCCAAAAGATCAATAATGAGTCCCAGCTGTCAGACACTGAGTTACAAGGTTTAGATTTTCACTGTTGATTTTGGTTTTGCTTTGATCTGATTTTCTATCCCAGTTCTTCCCTATTGGATTAAGAGGTAATGTAACTTGCTTTTTTTGGAAGGGGTATTTTATTTTATAGGGACCCCACAGAGGCTTTATACTTAAAAAAAGTGAACTTTTAAATTGCTGAAAACTTTAAAGACTATGAGACTTTTAAAAGTTGTAATGTATTCTATATTTTGATATTAACATATCTTGGGAAGAACAAGAAAGGAAAGGTTATAGCTTAAGTGATATTTTTGAGTCAAGTTGACAACGAGTAGTTTGTGTTGGTTAGCTTTTATTGTCAACTTGACACAACCTGAAGTCACCTGTGAGGAGGGAATCTCAACTGAGGAACTGTCCAGATTAGACTGGCCTGTGGCCAGATCTGTAAGAGATTGTCTTAACTGGTGACCGATGTGGGAGGGCCCAATCCACGGGGCAGCACCATTTCTAGGCAGACGGGACTGGGTTATATAGCAAAGTTAGCTGACCACGGGCCAGTAAGCAGCATTCTTCATGGTTTCTATTTCAGTCCCTGCCCTGATTTTCCTCACTGATGGATGGTGAACTGGAAATGTAAGCCAAATGCACATACAGGAAGGAGCAAGAAAGGAAAGAGGCAAGTTGTCACAGAGCAGGGACTCCTGTGACTCTTTCCACTTTAAGGGTGCTTGAGGATGCAAGACATACTCAAGTGCTCTTGAGCTTGCAACTCAGTGAATCACGAGGAAATGAAGGCAGCGAACCCATCACCAAGGGGCAGATACACCTACTAATCTGTACTTCATTGCATCTGGGGGAAACAGCTGTGTCTTTTGCCCAGTTTTCCAACAGGGTCAGCTGCTGCTGATTTGCTACCGCACAGAACTCTCCGATGTTCCTCTTGAGAGAAGCTGACATTACATCACCACCCCCAACTCTGGTCTATGTTTGTATTTCTCTAGGAAACCCTTTTCTGACCAGGAAACAACAGACATTTTCCTATGCATTTTTAAAAACCTGCCACCCCTTTCCTCTTGTGGAATTCTTGATGCGATGCATGAGGATGTTGTCATGAGGAAGCACTGTTGGATGACTCACCATTAGCCACTATTTGTAGATGGCCCCTTCTCTTTTGGGAGTGTAGTGAAAGCTGGCCAGGGCGGGCCTCTTCACCCTAGCACCTTCAGACCCTGCGCTGTCTAGAGATCAACAGTCCAGTCTGGCTTTCAGCTTCTCCTTGGACCCAAACTGCTCTGTGCTCATTATTGTGACCCTACAGTAAGTCTTTGTATTAAAAGGACAAATTAAATTCCTTTATCATGATTTTTGATGAGACCTTCATTCATACATTTAAAACAGAATGATTTCCTCTAAAGGTCTCTGGGGGTCTGGGTTTTCACTGCACTTATACATCAATCTGGGAGGAACCGGTACCTCTGCAATTCTTACGTTTCTAACCTTGAATGCAATATATTTCCTCACTTAGTGGGATCTTTTGGTTGGAACTTTAAACAAAGGTAGGGTTTTTCGTTTGGTCGGTTTGGCTTGGATTTTTGAGACAGAGTTTCTCTGTATAGCCCTGTCCTGGAACTCGCTCTATAGATCAGGCTGGTCTTGGACTCAGGGATCTGCTTGTCTCTGCCTCCAGAGCGCTGGACAACAAAGGCAGTATTTTTTGTTCATTGGACATAGTCTCACTTTGTAGCCAGAGCTGGCTTGGCCTAGCCTCGAAGTCAGAGAGACCTGCTCCCCCCCCAAAAAGTGCTAAGGGCAGGATTTTTTTTCAAAGCCACCTTTCCTTATCAATTTTACACTTAGTGCTTTATGATAAGAGTGTGGCCTATATGACCCCAGATTCTGAAATCTGCTTCATGGTTGGTATATGATCAAATTTTGCAAATATTTCTAGGAATTCTCCAGTTGTGTTGGACATAGCATTCAGCATGGCAATCATATCACACACTTGACCTGTCACTCACTGAGAGGGAAATGTGCTGTGACTCCTCTGTGGTGTTTGTCAAACTTGCCAGGTTTCTTTAGAGGGTATTTTCCCAGTAACTCTCCCTACTCTTCAATTATGGACTTCTCATGCTTCGGGTGTGTCTCTTAAAAGAACACAAATGAAATTTCTGCAGTTTTATATTTTGCTTATCCATTTAGCTTTAAAAACATATAGTCTGACAGCCTTTGAGTTTTTTGGTTAACTATGATTTTTATTTCTTTTATTTTCTGCCATTTTTTTTGTCCTGCATTTCTAGGGATTTTTTCTCACTTTTCAACTCATCCATTTTCACTGGTGTTATGCAGCTTACTCCTTTTTCTGTTAGTGGTCACTTTGAAAGTTTAGCTCAACATAGGCATTTAAGTTTGCAATCCCCTATCTTAACCCTCTAGTCACTAGAGTCTAGTGGGATGGTACAGCGACCCGAGCATTGTTTTAATTCCTCTCACCCACATCCTAATCTTGTATATGCTTATCTCGTTGTACCCTGGTACTGAGTTTATGCCTAGACCTTGTACGGCTACACTATCTCCTCAGTAGAGTGCTTTAGATTTCTATACATTTAGTTCTGGTGTGCTAATCCTATCAACTACAAAGCACTAATAGTTGTAACGCTGATTCTGTAGATTCATGTGTTTCAAATGTCTACTATTTTCTTTGCTCGCCATTCCTTACAATTTCAGCTTTCTCCCAGGTAGATTTTCTTTTTCCTGAATGGCACGCACCAGGAGGCTGTTACTGTGGTCCTGCGGCTTCTGTTTTTCTACAAACAGCTATACTGAAGTCCTTTCCCTGAGTCAGACATTAAGACAGTAGCACTTTCTGTTACTACACCGGATTTGGTAAGAAGTACTTCTCACTGCTGTTCCTTTGTTATGTTCTTGTTCTTTCAGTTGTCTCTGGGGTTTGACTTTGGCCTTTGATGTTAATGAGCAGTTTTAGTTTCTTTCTACAATGGTGTTATTTCTGGTTATCCTTTTGGAGTTTGCTGGGATAGCTAACTGTGAGGATTGGCTTCTTGTACTGATTTTAGAGACTTCTCAGGGCATCCCTCTCCATCCTGGTGTTTTCTGGGCCACGCCGCATCAGATCTGACATCTTTAACAGTGCTTCTTAGGGTTCTACTATGGAAATATGTCACATAGGGGCTTGGAGTTGTCAGAACCAAGGCTCTGGTTAGCTCAGCAGTGCAGAGTCCACAAAGGAGATGAGGGAGGGGAAGAAAAGGCAGAGCTTCAGCCAACCGAAGGCTACCTGAACCTTCAGTTTTGCGAGGTTCACTGCAGTTGCCCTGCCTACTAGTGGGTAGAACCAAAAAGGACCCATTGAGCAGCCATGTTCCAGGATGGCGTGGTGGCAGCTGGTGGCTGTGGAGTGCTGTTAGCTCTCTCCTTCCTCACTATCAGTGGTAAAGGTATTCTCACTCACTCCTACAGGTGGGAGGGGCAGCTGTTCAGCATTCTGCAGTGCCTGCAATCACCACTCTGTTCACATGATGGCATTCTATCTCAGAAGGTACCATCACCTCAAATGCCAGGATGAAGGGCATTTCCAATGCAGCATCAGGCTACGTGCCTCTACAATGTCAAAATGTGCTAACGAAAGAGGCTTTACATTCCCAGCATGCTTAATGGTTACTACAGACACACTGGAATGGCAGTTCTCCCACTCACTCTGTGGTCCTTGTAAGGGACCTCTAAGACTGTCTTCTTCTGTGAAGTGAGACTGCTGGCCCTGAGGTCCACTTCACAGGTTGGTGCGAGGTGCAGGTTAGCACGATAGTCAGCTTAGAGTACAGAGATGGACTCTGTCAATATCACCATGCTATCATTTTCATGTTTGCTTGCTTTCAGTACTCTTTTAAATAATGGGGATGCTAAGTAAGGGAGTGACTTGGGAGCTGAAGATGAGGTAAGAGATTCATACCCGGGAGGGTAGCATTGAAGTTCACTCTAGACAGTCCTGACTTAGGATGCTCTTGTGCATCAAAAGAAACTGTACTGGGAATTTGATCCTTTTATGAACTAGTAACAGATGATCCATAATCTCTTATTTTGGGTAGCAGCAATGAGCTACAGCTCCCCAGCAGTCCTTCAGTCCTTAGGGTAAGCAGCTGATGTCTAGCGTGGCAGTGCCCACATGGAATGCGTAGTATGTTAGGGGGTACTTTCAGCTTACAGTGGCTTTATCAGGACATGGCCCCATGTAAACCGAGACCATCTGTGATTTTTCTCCAGAGGAAACTGATTCCTCCTTGGTGTGATTGCACTGATGCAAGGAAAGTGACAGAAACAGATATGAGGGACCAAGCGGTCCATCCCATTGCTCACTTGTCTCTCCAGGCTCTTTGTAGCTTATGCATCACTCCTGTGTCCTAGGACATGGTGCTGTTTCCCCTTTTTATTTCTGAAACCACACCTGACTGAGGCTTATGGGATACAAAGGTTCCTAGACACTTTCCAAGGCTACAGAGCAGAGAACTGGAAGCAACCAGTCTATGATGGTCATTTTCCAAAGCCGAGTGGCAATTCTACAGAAATGGACATGAAGGCCATCCTAGAGGAATGGGCATGCAGACACCTTGTACGGCCGCTGAGTGGTCATCTGAGAGAAGGGGGTGGAAGGAAAGGCAGATGAGCACTTCACAAGGCTCTGAGTACAGAGAGTGTACTATGCTGTGCTGGGCATGGTGCCACAGAGTTTCTTCAGTTCAGGACTCTTATCTTGGAATCTTGAGAGCTCAGAAAGCATCCAGAATCCTGAGTAAATCTATCCTAAGTGGCACCCAGGAACTGTAGGAGACACAGTTGTCAGGTGGGTGATTTCTACATAAGAGTCGATTTAAAACATTGCTTAAAATGGGGTCTGGAAAAGGTGCATAGTCTCATCTGGGCAAGACAATTCAGATCTAAGGATGGCTCTCCTGATGGTTCCCATGTCTGATTTGTGGGCCAGATAATTAAGTAGCTAAATGATAACTGCCAATGCAGTTGAAACTGTACTCAGTTACACTACAAAGGATTAGCATTTCCTCATAGCCATATTTGTATTCTAAGACTTCAAAAAGTCTCCCCAACTATTTGGCCCAGATAACAATCATTCTGGCCTTCATCACCCACACCACTGAGCAGTTCCTTTGTCTTTTATATGGATTATCTGGTCTTCAATTTCATATGTGACAGAAAGGCACCTTTAGAAGTTGCACTTTTTGCACATAAATCATACAATCTTGTCAAAAAATAGAATAACATTCATAGGATAAGCTGTTTTATGATGATTAGCCAAGATACTAGATCATTCTTGTTGTTCTAAGGGATACCTTAGAATGGGCTATTGTCAACAAAAATTTGTTGCTTCCATGTTTGGAAGCTAAATGTCTAAGATCAAGATGGCAGAAAGTTGTGTGTGGTAAGGGCCCAGCTCACTTTCCAGAATGGCATCTCCGATGCTATGGCTATGTCCTTACATGGTGGAAGAAATAAGGGGGGTCAGCTCTTCAAATGTTCACTAGGCAGAACCTCAAAGACCCAACTAGTTCATGGCGATCTCGCCTCCTAACACTAACACGTTGGTGATTAGGTTTGAATATACAAATATCAGAAGATAGATACATCCACACTACAGCATTGAGTACATTGGAGGCAATAGCAATGGTTGTATACTAATTTAAATTAAGCTGCAGTAATCTATAAACGACCCACTAAGAGATCCCAATAATTCTATGAGAGGGTAAAACACCACACTGACACAGAAATCAACCAGGAAAACCAGCCATGATCTGTCTCTTGCACGGATGCCTCACCAGTCTGTAAATCAGGTGGACCAGAAATATGCTCCACCAACTCCAGTGTCTTCAGCTACAGAAACCCCATAAGACCCCCTCAGGTCATCCTCGAACATCTGGCTTTGCTGGGGTAAAGAATCTAGTTCTCCAGAAGCCTTCTGGCAGGGCTATTGATGCTTCCCCTTGGTTCAAGAGCTTTACTGAATCCCACAACCTAGCTTTCAGGTTTGCACCAGCATGAGTGCATTTCTCCAGGTAGAAATGCCTGCCTCAGCACCACAGGGACACTGGGCCATCCGAAGCTACTTCCTGGCCCTTCACTCAGTTCTGTCATCTACCCACAATGGTCACCCTTGTCTGTAATGAGTTCATAGGCTGTACTTCTACCTGAGGACAGGATGAGCAGAGCCAGGTGTGGTCTGCTCAGGGTGAACGCGCTAGTGGTACCTGGAGGGCCACAGCCTCGTGTCTAAGTAGCCAAGGGCACATTTGCCATGATGATCTGAGAGTGAGATACTATGAATTCAGACATAGCAG